TGTGTGTGTGAGTGTGGGTGCATGTGTGTGAGTGTGGGTATATGTGTGTGTGAGTGTGGGTGCATGTGTGTGTGAGTGTGGGTGCATGTGTGTGAGTGTGGGTGCATGTGTGTGTGTGGGGTGCATGTGTGTGTGAGTGTGGGTGCATGTGTGTGTGAGTGTGGGTGCATGTGTGCTGTACCACCTGTGTGGAGGCCAGAGACAACTTTTGGGAGTTGATATTCTCCTTTCAGTGTAAGATCTGGGACTTGAACACAGGTCATCAGTTCTGGGCAGCAAGTGTTCCTGCCCACTGAGCTCGCTTGCCAGTAGGCATTCCTTTATTTATTTATTTATTTAGTTAGTTAGTTTAGTCTCTTTTTTTTTTGAGACAGGGTTTTACTCTGCCGCCCAGACTGATATGGACCTCATTATGTAGCTTGGGCTGAACTAGAATTTACTGCTTTTGGCTCAGCCTCCCGAGTGCTGGGAAAGCAGGCATGTGCCACAGTCCTGGCCTCCAGAACAATAATCTTATGCAAACTGTTACCACAGCTGATAAGGTGGCTCGGCCAGAAAAAGCGCTTGCCGGGAAGCCTGGTGACCTGAGTTCATTCGGGACCCACACTGCCGAATGTGAGAACTGACTCCTACAAGGCGACCTCTGACCTCCACACACGTGCTGGGCCGTGCACGCCCCCGCCTCCTCGACAGATACATGAAGAAAGGTAAAAAATCATTTCAAAAAAACGAAACTATCGATATGTTTGGCGAAAGGAAATGTGTTTAATAAGCACTAGATTGCAGTGGTAAAATATTTAAGTTAATGTCCTTTTGGGAAGTCAGGAAGTATTGCTCATGTCTTAGCTAGGGTTTCTGTTGCTGTGATGGCACACCGTGACCAAAGCAGGGTGGGACAGAAAGGGTTTATTTGGCTTACACTTCCACACTGTAGTCCATCCCTAAAGGAAGTCAGGACAGGAACTAAAAGTCCCCTCCTCTCAGATGACTTTAGCTCCCGTCAAGTTGACATAAAACTAGCCAGCAAAGTTCATTTATGTATCATGGCCATTTTTCCTTTGTTGGCTATTTACTGAAAAAAAAAAAAGAAAAAAAAAGAGGGGGGGTTACAGAGATTCCTTCTCTAGCAAACACTATAGAAACATGTTTAGGGGTTGTGGGTACAACCCAGCCTTACAGTGTGAGCTAAGCATGCGTGTTACACAACAGTTTCCTCTCAGTTTAGAACGATCCATGTTGGAGGGAAACTTATTAAGATAGGATGTTTTACAGGTAGGTGAAAGCAACAGTATGTTCTAAGGGAAGGTGAAATACACCAGAGAAGTCGATTCAGACAGGAAGTAAACAATTCAAAATAGCTCAGGAAGTCCCTGAAACTGACTGGATTCACTAGCCCGCCCCCCCCCCCCCCGCCCCCCGGAATTGTAAAGAGAAGCAGGGTCTAACTGCCTGGAAGAAACAATGACCAGCTTAACTAACTAGAAGACGCTCAGACCAACTGAGCCACCTGGAAAGGACTCTCCAGTTTACTAAGCTGCCTGCAGACTGCTGTGTGCTTCCGGTTTCCTGATGTTGTGAGCTGCAACCCATGCTGGGCCTTGGTGATGCAGCTGCCTTTGAGTCATTTCTACTCCTGTAAGTGACCCCTCCCCCACATTCCTGTAAGGAACCCAATAAAACTCATTGGTTTACTAAGTCAGACTTCAGTGTATACATATTTTGATCTGTCTGGGCTTCCTTTCTGGGTTGGGTAGGGCTGTGTGTGTGTGTGTGTGTGTGTGTGTGTGTGTGTGTGTATTTTGAGTCTCTTTAGGAAGAGTCTCTCACACAACAATGCAGGAGGCCCTGGGTTCAATCCCTAAGAAAAAAATAAAAAGAGTATTTTCACTAGAAATTACCAAAAGACTCACTTCTTATAATGAAGAGAAAGTATATAATCCCAGCACTAGGGAGATTGAGGCAGACATAGCTCTGTAGGTTCAAGGCTGGCCTGGGCTGTATATGGAGTTCCAGGACAGCCAGGCCTACAGAGAGAGAGAGAGAGAGAGAGAGAGAGAGAGAGAGAGAGAGAGAGAGAGAGAGAATGTCAAAAAAACAAAAACAAACCCAACAAAAGCAAAGTATATGTCAGGAAGTGTCAAAACATATCTGAAGTTTAAAAACTCACCTCCCAACAAATGGTACGACCTTGAGTAAGTCACTAATGATTGACTACTATTTCCTCTTCTACAGTCAAGGGGTGATAACTCATCCCTAACCTAGCTGAGATGGGAGATTACATATGAAAAACTAATGCAGTGGTAAGCACTTTCAAAGGAAGAGCATCGTAGACTCATAATTACTGTTATAAAGAGTGTTTCCAGCAAAAACCGCAGTAGAGAGGGTAAGAAAGACATAGTCCGCAGTGTGCACAGAGCCGTTTATGGCAATATACACGTATATATTCCTTGCACTGATTTCTTTATTCAGGCATTTTCACATTGAGAGAAAGAGAGAGAATGTGTGAGTATATGCCTGTGTGCCACGTGTGGAAGTCAGAGGACGACTTCCAGCAGTCAGTTCTCTCTGTCTACCATTGCTGTTCCAGGGGGCAAACAGTCTTGGCAGCAAGTGCTCTTACCCACTGAGCCTTCTCGATGACCCCATAAATATATTTATAACACAGCCATATATATCTATATATCTGCCTAACACAGGATGGAAACGGGAAAGCCAAGGAATTTTAATTATAGTGTGTGGCTTTGTTTCCCTCAGACATTACTGGAAAGTAGCTGACACCACCTATAGATCAAACTTAGTTTTGTTCAATAGATGAGAAACTTACCAGTCTGTTTTTCAAATTCTGGATTGTTCTAGAGTTTTCCAGAGCAGAATTTGAATAGATCTAAGAGACTGAGCTCACAGGAGTAAGGTTAACCCAAAAAGCAAAGCCATTCTAGACTAACCTGGGTATTCAAATCAGTCACAAAACATGTGTGCACCTCAGGACTTCTTGCCTTGTGTATGCATGCATCCATAGACCTAGATTACTAGCTGACAAATAATTGTTTATGCTTTTAAGGGAAAAAAACATATAAGACAGGTGCAAAGGCCTAGTAGGTTACAGGTTTTTATTTTTATAAAACTCCAACAGAAGTATGCGAGTAAAGATGTGTGGTTCAGATGGTTGAAGGTAGAAAATAGTGCCACTGTGGCTATTTTGAGAAATGCATGTGTTTTTGTGAGAAACCATAGAGAAAATGCATCCATACTGTGGCCCCCAGTGCCTCAAGCTCATCCTAAAAGGTTTAGCTATTCTGCTTTTATAACTCTACCTCTTGCCTTTCCATGACAGGGTGAGGGGCCCCTATTCCTTGTCTTTAACAAAACGCCCTTTCACAGTGCTTGGTTCCTTCCTTCTTAGTTCTCTCTCTCTCTCTCTCTCTCTCTCTCTCTCTCTCTCTCTCTCTCACTCACTCTCTCTCTCTCTCTCTCTCTCTCAATACAAGGCCTGTTCATGTAGTCGTGGCTATCCTAGAACTCAACATGTAGACCAGGCTGTCCTAGAACACACAGGAATCTGCCTAACTCTCTCTCCCAATTCATCCAAGTCATGTACTACCATGCCTGGCCTCCCTCTCCCGCCCCTCTCTCTTCAAAGATTTTCTTATTTATGTGTATGAGTTATTTTGCCTGTGTGTGTGTACATGCACTGTGTGTATATGCTGTGTGTCTTCAGAGGCCAGAAAAAGGAGCCGGATCCCCTGGCAGGGGAGTTAGGAGTGGTTGTGAGCCCCTTCTGGGACTAGAACCCAGATCGCCTTCAAGAACAAGGAGTGCACCGGGTGGCGGCGGCGGCGGCGGCGGCGGCGGCGGCGCACGCCTTTAATCCCAGCACTTGGGAGGCAGAGGCAGGCGGAGCTCTGTGAGTTTAGAGGCCAGCCTGGGCTACCAAGTGAGCTCCAGGAAAGGCACAAAGATACGCAGAGAAACCCTGTCTCAAACCCCACCCCCCCAAAAAAAAAAAAAAAAAAAAAAAAAAGAGCAAGGAGTGCCCTCAAGCACTGTGCAGCGCTCCTGCTGATCTTTTTAGAGCATACTTAACTCCTTGATTCTGATGTTCCCTCCTCCCTTACCTAGACCTTCTCTGCTTCTTGCTCTGATCCCACACTTGGCTTGCTGAGTCCCGCTTCAGGGACGAGTAGAGCTGTTGGAATTCTTGCCCACCAGTTTTCTGGAGCACCCTTCCACCTTACTGTGTTTCCCGACTTCCAGCCTCCTCTCATTTTCACCGTGGCCACTCAGACACGCTCTGTTCCACTTCCTCAAATTCAGCTACTTCTGCAAACAGATGGGCAGAAACTTAGGACGGTTCAGCTTCAGAAGTTTCCGTGTATTACGGTGTAAAAGCAACTGGTATTTAGTAAAAATCGTACTTTGGATCTGAATTTCGGTCTTCTGAGGCTAGCCATGTGCAGGGTGAGACCCTCTTGGAATGCTGGGCGGCTGTCACAGCTCCTCGTGAACCATGAAATCACAAGGGAAAACAGCTGAAATGTTGATGGAGGTT